AGCAGCAGCAGCAGCAGCAGCAGCAGCAAGCTCCTTAGGGAAGAGCCCGCAGCGCCTTCAAAGATCGACAATGCTGAGGCAGCAGCAACACGGGCGTCTCCTCGCAGCCCTGCTGCTGCTGCTGCTGCTGCTGCTGCACGAGACGCATCGAACAGCGGCAGCAACAGCAGCAACAGCAGCAGCAGCACGAGGAATAGCCCTCGAGGCAACAAACGCCAGGAAGCTGGCGCGCAACAACAGCAGCAACAGTTGAGGCCACGGCAGCAGCAGCAGCAGCAGCAGCATAGGTCTGCGTGGCAGCAACCACCGCAGCAAACCACTAGACAGTCTCAATGGCCGCAACAACAACAACAGCAGCAGCAGCAGAAGCAGCAGCAGAAGCAGCAGCAGCAGCAGCGTCAACTGTACCAGCAAAATGAGCGTCAGCGGCAACAGCAGAATCAGCAGCAGCAGCAGCATCACCGTCAGGAACCGATGCAGCTGCAGCAGCAGCAACATAAACAACAGAAGCAGCAGCAGCAGCAACACCAGCAGCAGCAACACCAGCAGCAGCAGCCTGCTGCTGCTGCTGGTGCTGCTGCAGCACCTTCAGAGGTAGAGTGGCCCGAGGCCCCCCCTACTACACGGAGAGTGCCGCGTAAGCAGCAGCAGGTGCTGCAGCACTTCGGTATAGCTACCTTCTCTGCATTCAGCAGCAGCAGCAGCAGCAGCAGCAGTAGTGGTCGTGCTCGTCCACAGAAGTCTGCAGCAAAAGGAGCAGCAGCAGCAACAGCAGCAGCAGCAACAGCAGCAGGAGAAGGTGGGGTTGTACACTGTCTGTGTCTTGGTGTTGAGCATGGCGCTTACGGTGTATGTCTTAGCTGTGGTCTAATTCGTTGCCGTTTTGGCCTCAGCAGCAACAGCAGCAGCAGCAGCAGCAAGAGCAGCAGCAGCAGCAGCAGCAGCAGCAGCAGCAGCAGCGCGGAGGATGTACGGTGTCTGTACTGTGCTAATGAGGTAGTACCTAGTGCTGCTCTCCCTGCTATAACATCAACAGTTAGTGCAAGGCTAAAGGATAACAGACAGCAGCTGCTGCTGCTGCAGCAGCAGCTGCAGCAGCAGCAGCAGCAGCAGCAGCAGCAGGATGAGGGACTTAAGGAGAAAATAATGGCGTTAGAGGCGAGGATAAAAACAGACGATGCGCATTTAAAGGGTGAGACAGTACACCAAATGCAGCAGCTGCAGCAGCAGCAGCAACCCAGCAGCAGCAGCAGCAGCAACAGCAGCAGCAGCAACAGTAGTAGCAGCAGTAGTAGTAGAAGCAGCATGCAGCCCCAAAATGTTAATGCGTTTTTTTTATTTCTCTTCTTCTCTTTTTATATTCCCTCTTCTGTTGTGTCTGCTGTTGCTGCTTTTTGTGCTGCTGCTTCTCCTCCTCCTCTTCCTGCTGTTGCTGCTGCTGCTGTTGCTGCTGCTGCTGCTGCTGTTGTGTGCAGCATTACGCCTACACCGCGAGCTAGTAGTTCGTGATGCTGAATCACAGCAGCAGACACGAGTATTAGATCTAAATAGCTGCTGGTTTGATTGTAATGTAGATCTAGATAGCAGCAGCAGCAGCAGCAGCAGCAGCAGCAGCAGAGCAGCAGATATGTGGCTAACACCGCAGCAGCAAATAGAGAAACAGCAATTGCTGCAGCGGCTACAGGAGGCATTCAATCTAGAGAAAGGTATATAATAATACGAATTTATATATTTCTGCTGCTATTGCTGCTGCTGCTACTGTTGCTGTTGCTGCTGCTGCTGCTGCTGTTGCTGCTGCTGCTGCTGTTGCTGCTGCTTCTTAGTACTTGTAGTAGTTGTTGCGGCACTAATCCGGTTGTTGCTGCTGCTGTTGCTGTTGTTGCTGTTATTGACTCTCCTACCTTAACATGTTCGTCTCTTACATATTCTGTTGCTGCTCTTGTTGCTCTTGCTGCTGCTGCTGCTGCTGCTGCTGCTGCTGCTGCTGCTGCTGCTGCTGCAGGTAGGACGAAGATATCCTTTGACTTTGAGGGTCGTCGTGTTGTTGCTGCGCCATCAACATTGCCAGAGGAGGCAGAGGCCTTACTTAAATCCTTTGAGGAGCGCTGCATGCAGCAGAATCAGCAGCAGCAGCAGCAGCAGCAACTGCAGCAGCAACAGCAGCAGCAGCTACAGTATATAGATGCAGAAGATAGTGGCTTATCTGATGATGCTGCAGATACACCCCAACAAAGAATTAGTTATACACATAAACAAAGAAGAGAAAAACATCTGCTGCAGCAGCAATGGCCGGAGCTGCAGGCAGCACAGCAGCAGCAGCAGCAGCAGCAAGAAGGGGGAGGTTCTGCGTGGCCTTCTCTTGATCAAGATACTGGAGACCAGCAGCAACAGCAGCAGCAGCAGCAGCAGCAGCAGCGCAGCCGCACTCATCTCCATAAGACAGCAGCAGAGCAGCTGCAGGACGCATGGAATGCAATGCTTGAGAGGGAAGCAGCAGCAGAGCAGCAGCAGCAGCAGCAACAGCAGCAGCAGGAGCAGCAGCAGCAGCAGGAGCAGCAGCAGCAGCAAACTATATCACCCCATGGATTAGCTAATGAATGTCTTGATGGTTATGCGCGGATCTTGCTGAAGGATCTGCATGCAGCAGCAAATCCCCATAAATCACCAAAGAAACCAGCAGCAGCACCAGCAACAACAGCAGCAGCAGCAACAGCAGCAGCAGCAACAGCAGCAGCAGGGAAAGGTGAGCGTCAACGAACTGGTGTAAAGGTAACAGCAGTGAGTGCTGCTGCTGCTGCTGCAGCAAAAGAAGCAAGGAAAGCAACTGATGGAGGCAAAAAGAAAACAGCAGCAGCAGCAGCAGCAGCAGGGTCTAAGACAGAAGGAGAAGCAGCAGCAGAAGGAGAAGCAGCAGAAGCAGCAGCAGCAGCAGCAGCAGCAGAGTCTGAGGAAGAGGGCTACTTACGAGGCCGTTGGAGGCAGCGTGGTGATGGAGAGCAGCAGACTTTGCTGCAGCAGCTGAAGGAGCAGCAACGGCTGCAGCAGCAGCAGCAGGAGCAGGAGGGGGAGGAGGAGGAAGCAGCAGAAGTGTGGGGTCTGCAGCATTTAAGAGAGCAGCAGCAGCAGCAGCTGCAGCAGGAGCAAGATGATGCATGCAAAGGGAGACTGTTTCGTGTACCTGCAGCAAGATATGATGGTGCTGCTGTGTTGCTGCCTGGTAGCTGCTGCATGCAAGAGGAGACAGCAGCAGCAGCAGCAGCAGCAGCAGATGACGAGGAGACAGCAGCAACAGATGAGGAGGAGACACTTGATGATCTATCATGGATAGAGATAAAGGACGAAGAAGAACCTCAGCACCAGCAGCAGCAGCAGCAGCAACAGCAACAACAACAACAACAGCAGCAGCAGCAGCAGCAGCAGCAGCAGCAAGAAGACATGGGTATAGTACTAACACTGCAGCAGCCATTAGCTTCTCTTGTTGTCTATGGGTTTATTCCTTCTATTAAATATTCTTCTTCTTCTTATAGAGGAAGGTAACTCCCTGCTGCTGCTGCTGCTGCTGCTGCTGCTGTTCCTGTTGCTGCTGATGTTGTTTGTGTTCTTGTATTCTTATTCCTTAACAATTTGCTGCTGCTGCTGCTGCTGCTGCTGCTGCTGCTGCTGCTGTGTTTGTAGGTTATGGATATATGCAGCAGAAGACGAATCCAGCAGCAACGCCGATACAACTTTCTCTCCTAAGCAGCAGCAGCAGCAGCAGCAGGAGCAGCAGCTGCTGCAGCAGGAGCAGCAGGAGGAATTATTAGAGGAAATAATAAATAAGAATACAAGGAATATAAATAAGGAGACAATAAAAAAAAGTGTCTCCTTTTTTTATAAATTAAATATAAAAGAGACAACAGGTTGTCTCCTTGGATCTGTACTACTTAATGCATGCAATGTATACCAGGTATTTATCCTCCTGCTGCTGCTGCTGCTGTTGCTGCTGCTGCTGCTGCTGCTGTTGCTGTAGCTGTTGCTGCTGCTGCTGCTGGTTCTTGTGGTGATTATAATGCTGCTGCTGCTGCTGCTGGATTATCTTTGCTATTTCTCCTTACTTGTTGCTGCTTCTGCTGCTCAATTGCTGCTGCTCCTGCTGCTGCTGCTCATTTGCTGCTGCTGTGCATGCATGCATGCATGCATGCAGGAAGAAGGAGAGGAAGTTGGGGCTTTTGTGTTATTAAGTCTCCAATTACCACAAAGATTAAGAGTACCTATTAAGGTATTTATTTATTTATTTAATTTATTTATTTATTTATTTATTTAATTTATTTATTTGTTTATTTATTTATTTATTTATTTATTTATTTTGTTTATTTTATTTTATTTATTTTTTTATATATTTTATTAATTTATTTTATTATTTATTTATTTACTTTATTATTTATTTATTTATTTTATTGCCTATTGTATATATTTATTATTTATGCTGCTGTTGCTGTTGCTGCTGTTGCTGCTGCTGCTGCTGCTGCTGCTGCTGCATGCAGATGCGTGGTGGGGAGGGCTTTTGGTGTTTATCTAAGAGTCTCCTTCCTTCTCTTCATTCGTCTCTTCTTCCTCCTAGATGGCCAGCACTATGGGGCTCGCTGCTGCTGCCTAGCTCCAGCAGCAGCAGCAGCAGCAGCCAGCAGCAGCAGCAGCAGCAGCAGTTTTTGCAGGGAAGCAGCAGCAATGGAGAGCGAGGAGGGCAGCAGCAGCAGCACCAGAAACTGCAGCAGCAGCAGCAGGATGAAGAAGAGGAAGAAACATTTTGGTGACCTGTAGCACAGCACATCTCCTGTCTCCTTTTGCTGCTGCTGCTGCTGCTGCAGCACAAGCAGCATCCGAAGTAGCCGCAGCAGCAGCAGCAGATGCTGCAGTAGTAGCAGCACCAGCAGCAGCAGCAGCAGCATAGCTGGATTGTTTGCTTATTTGCTGCTGTTATATTGGGGTGTATCCTCACCTCCTGTCTCCTTTATTAATTTCTTTCTTTTCTTTCTTTTTTTTTTCCTTAAGTCTCTCCTTTTTTGTCTCCTTTTTTTGTCTCCTTTCTTGTCTCCTTTTTCTCTATCTATCTATCTATCTATCCAGCTAGCTAGCTATCTACCTATCTAGCTAGGTGGCTAGCTAGCTAGCTAGCTAGCCAACTAGCTAGCTAGCTATATAGACTCGTTTTGCTGCGCTGCAACTCTTAGAGCAACACAAGCAGCAGCAGCAGCAGCAGCAGCAACAGCAGCAGCAGCAACAGCAGCAGCAGCAACAGCAGCAGCAGCAACAGCAGCAGCAGCAACAGCAGCAGCAGCAGCAACACCAGGAGTTGCGTAGTTACCAACACTGCCCTACCCACGAAAAAAAAAGGGTTTAGGGTTTAGGGTTTAGGGTTTGTGCAGCAGTAAGAATAAAGGGACCAAGAGGTAATGGTGTGGGGGCCCCCACACCTAGGGTACTAAGGGGGCCCCCCCCTAAGAAGAGTCCCTTAGGGTGAGGGAAGGGGCAGATAGGTACAAGGGGCCCCTGTCTTGATGGTGCAGGCTGTGCTGCTGCTGCTGCACCTCCTGCTGCTGCTGCTCCTGTAGCAGCAGCAGCAGCAGCAGCAGCAGCAGCAACAGGGGTAAGACGATTACGTATTAAGGAAGAAAATAGATCTGCTTCTTGCTGATTAAGAGACACAATCTCCTCACATAGCTGCTGCACATGTCTGCTTGGCTTACGTCTGCTGCTGCTGCTGCTGCTGCTGCTGCTGTTGGTGGTGCTGCTGCTGCTGTTGTTGGTGATGCTGCTTGGTGCAGCAGCAGATGACTGCCTTGGCGCTGTTGCTGCAGCTGCTGCTGCTGCTGCGTCAGAGGAGAAACGGCTAATATTGCCGCAGCAGCAAATGGCTCCTCTTGCTGCTGTTGCTGCTGCTGCTGCTGCTGCTGTTGGTGCTGCACACAAAAAATGTCCCGATGCTGTTGCTGCTGTTGTTGTTGTTGCTGCTGCTGCTGCTGTGGCTGCTGGGGGGCCCCAGCGGGCCCCCCATGCAGCAGCAGGGGGTGTAACCATTGGACCACTGTCCAGCTGCTGCTGCTGCTGTTGTTGCTGCTGCTGCTATAAATGTTGTTGCAGCAGCAATTGGTGCTGCTGCTGCTGTTGCTGCAGGCGGCGCCACAGAAGCTGCTGCTGAGCTGTCGGCAGCAGCTGCTGCTGCTGCTGCTGCTGGGGTTTAAGAAAGAGGAAGGAAGACAAAAAGGGTTTACATAAAAAAAACAAAAATAAATAAATAAATAAATAAATAATAAACATTATTTGTTTATTTATTTATTTATTTATTTATTTATTTTATTCTTCTGCTGCTGCGAATATGCATGCATGCGGTCTGTCTGCTGCGGTGTACTCGCGAGGGTTAAAAACCCTAAACCCTAAACCCTAAACACTAAACCCTAAACCCTAAACCCTAAATTCTTAACATTAAAAACTAAACTCTTACCATTAAACAATAAACCCTAAATTCTAACCTCTTTACACTAAACCCTAAACCCTTAACCCTACATATCAAACCCTAAACCCTAAACCCTAAACCCTAAACGCTAAACCCTAAACCCTAAACCCTAGAATTAGAGAGTTAATAGTTGTGATTTATTTGTTGCTACTTGTGATTTATAAAGACATAAACAAAACCCTAATCTAATTCCTGCTGCTGCTGTACTATGTTCTTTTGCTGCTGTTGCTGCTGTTGCTGCTGCTGCTGCTGCATTCTCCCCGTTGTACTTATCTACAGCTAGCCACAGCTAGCTACAGGTATAGGCACAGCTAGCTATAGCTAGCTACAGCTAGCTAGCTAGCCACAGCTAGCTAGCTAACAACAGCCAGCTAGCTAGCTACAGCTAGCTAGCAAGGGATACGTATAGCTAACAAAATAAGCAGCAGCTAGCTAAGGATAATCTAAGAGGAAACAGCAGCAGCAGAGCCCAAACCCTAAACCCTAAACCCCGTTAGGGTTTAGGGTTTAGGGACAGCACGTGACCTCTATCTATTTATATTTTTGTCCTTCTGTTCGTTTTGTCTCCTTTTGTCTCCTTTTTTTGTCTCCTTTTTTGTCTCTTTTTTTTGTCTCCTTTTGTCCCCTTTTCTGCCTCTTTTTTCCTCCCTTTTTGTCTCCTTTTTTGTCTCTTTTTTTTGTCTCCTTTTTTGTCTCTTTTTAGCAACAAAATAAAACAAAATTAAAATTTATTTGTCTAAATAAAATAAATAAATAAATAAATAAATAAAATAAATAAAATAAATATAAATAAATAAATATAAATAAATAAATACAAATAAATAAATAAATATATTTATTTATTTATTTATTTATTTATTTATATTTATTTATGTCAATGGACAAACAAAACGCGAAAAAACGCCAAAATGCATTTTCCCCACTACTGCTGCTGCTGCTGCTGCTGCTGCTGCTGCTGCTGCTGCTGCAGCAACAGGAGGAGCAGCAGCAGCAGCAGGAAATATTAT